AAAAGAAGAAGCCAAGTTTCCAGATATCCCCAGACGACAGCTCACGCTGATTGTCGCTAAGTCGAACTTCTTGGTCATTTCGGGCATGTCGTATAGGGTTCCAGCTTATCATCGTGCCCAAACATCGCACGATAATCTTAAAAAAATCGAGCAATAAATATTATTTCCACACTCTATCAATTTTACAATCAGCTATACCCCATCTCATGAATCACAACAGAAATCCAATTTTCCAATTAATTATACATCCGACAAAAAAAAAATCACAATTCATATATTTTGGTGTTGATTACATAATAATGCATACCCGGTTCCAGGCGGAGCCGAGATGGGTTTGGTTGGGTTGATTGGAGAGATCCGCCGGTTCAATCTTCTTCGGTACGGGCAGAGGCGCCGCATCGAGGCTCGCCCCTCGAACCCAGTACGTGTATGAAGATGATTCCCCATCCTTCCCAGCCGCCGTCGCCGCCGCTGCCGCCGCACCTCCCTCCATGTTGTGCAATGGATTCAAAAAAAAAAAAAAAAAAAAACTGTCCGAATACAGATAAGAGATGGATGCAATTGAATGGAGGAATTGGTGGTTGAAATCTAGGAAAACCCTAGAACGATAACGAAGATTGAAGAAGCGGGGGTCTGGTTTGAATTTCGCGAAGGTTCTTTTGGGTAGGTTTGGACAAAGGTGGTTCAATTTTGACTCGATGGGACTTAAATTTGTGTGTCTGACTCTTAATTTTCGATTTATTTAATGTAATAACCACCGCCCTCAACTAAATTAAATTACAAAAAACTCCCTAATATTTGTGTAATTACAACTACATCCTTCAACTATGTATTTTTTTACACATTCATTCTTGCGATGTCAATGTTACCTGGGGTGTGTTCAATCGTCAGTAAACCGACCGAAAGAAAATTCGGTACATGCCGATTAACGAACCCATATTCAGTGTTTTTATTATCGAATAAATATTTCTATATGTAATATTAGTATTTAACTAAAATTAATTTAAAAAAGAAAACAAATTTCTAAATATTTTTAATAAAAGTTCGATAGTTTGGTTATTTACATAACCATGCCGCATATTTCGCTTTGATAAACAGTATAAAATTTTGGCAAAATTTCGGTACGATTCAACCGAATGAAGACCCCTAATTTTACCTATCGGAACGATCTTTTTTGTAAGATGTTGAGGGATAACTGTAATTACTCAAACATAAGGGGTATTTTCGTAATTTAACTTTACCTCTGGTGGCCGTAATTTGCCTACTTTTAATTACGATTCTGTGGCCCATATATTTTTTTTTTGGGCAGCTGGCCCAAACCACTAATTGGAACTGACTCATTCAATTACTCTAACTTTTCTTTGCAATATAATATTGGGAAAATGAGGGATAACCCCCTCAATACACAAAATAATAGAGTTTAGGCCCATTTTAATATTTATCATTTGTAAAGAAATCTAAAATTAACATTAGGAATTGTGAGACCCCCTCACGTGTTTATTATTCCAATTTTGTCCTTTCTTCCCCCACTCTTTCTCTCTGTCCCCCCCTCTCTTCTCAACCGTCATTTTTGACGTGTTGTTCATTTATTATTTTTCTTCTCTCTCATCTCTCATCTCTCCTCTCTTCTCTCTCTTCCACAATTTCCTCTCTTCTCTCTCCTCTCTCCTCTATTCTCTCTCTTCCACAATTTCCTTTCTTCTCTCTCCTCTCTCCTCTATTCTCTCTCTTCTCTCTCTTCCACAATTTCCTCTCTTCTCTCTCCTCTCTCTCTCTCTACTCTCTCTCTCCTTTCTCTTCCCTCATTTCCTCTGTTCTCGTGTGTTTCATTTTTTCTCTTTAGTTTCTCTATATCTTCTCAATACTTTATCTTTTCTTCTACATCTCATCTCATTTTATAACACCATAATATCTTAAAATAGTGAATTAATGGAAAACTATAGTTGACTACCAATTTTTTATAGTTGACATCGGAACAATTGTAGTTGACTATCCAATTTTTGTAGAACTCTGGCAACAATATAGTTAACTACCATTTTTTTATAGTTGACAGCGTAAAAATTATAGTTAACTATCTAATTTTTATAGTTGACTCTGGAAAAAATATAGTGAACTATCCCGATTTTATAGTTGACTCTGGCAACAATATAGTTAACTACCAATTTTTTATAGTTGACATCGTAAAAAATTATAGTTAACTATCTAATTTTTATAGTTGACTCTGGAAAAAATATAGTGAACTATCCGCTTTTATAGTTAACTCTGAGTGTATATGACCGTAATTTTTTAAGTTTTTCGACAACAATGATCTCTTCTTTGTTGTGGACTCTGATAAAACAAATTTCATACGAAGATTATAGTGAACTACGAAGTTTTTAGTCAACTTCAATTTTACAGGCAACTATGGATGAATATTTGCAGTCTTCATAGTCGTTGAAATTGAAAACCAAAAAAAAATGAAAATATGTCGTATTATGACATAAAACAGAGAAATCTAATTATATGTTGTAGGAAAAACGGATTTCATAGCAGCCTACCTTTATTCGATTTTTTTGATTTCACCATGTTTTTGTGTCTGCTTCTCCTCGATTCACACGTTTGTGAATTTTTTTCCAACAAATGAAGTAAACTAGAGTTCCACCGAAAGCCATAGATCATGGGCAGATTTTAGCGAATTATTGGGATGATATTCTACATATTGCCGTGATTTAGGGGGGAGAGATTTTTTTTCCCATGAATATTTGATATGAATTCCGTAGTTCAGGTAGAGATGGTGGGGGGGGGGGGGGGGGGGACGCCCTATTTTTTAAACAAAAATGGGGGGGTGATTTTGTTTTAACCCTAAGGGGGGGGGTTTAATTTTTTAAAAAAAAAAGGGGGGG